TAGTGTAGACCATGAAATTCCTATGGTTGGTCATTAGGAATCAATAAAGCTTGTCAAAAGATCTTGAATCTCTCTTATTTGCCAGAGGTGATGTTTGTAAATATTTCAGATCTTATCACACTTGTCAAATGTTTGGAAAACCCAGCAATGAGATACCTAAGGTTAATATGCAACCATAGCCAGCATTTGAAGAACCATTTAGCAGAATAATGGTGGACTGTGTCGGTCTCTTACTTGACACCAAGTCAGGTAATAAATGCTTGGTGATCCTAATTTATGCGTCTACAAGATTTCCAGAGGTAATTACTTTGAGGTATACTAAAACTAAAACAATAGTAAAAGCTTTGATAAAGATGTTTTACTCAGTCTGGCCTTCCCAAATTTGTCCAATATGATCAAATGTCAAATTTCATGTCTACCATTTTCCAACCAGTTATGCATAAATTAAGCAACAATTGAAATATCTTTGTATCACCCTGAAAGATAATGAACTTTATAGAAAGATTTCATAAAACATTGAACATATTATTCACTCGAATGGATTTGTTAATGGAAAAGATTGGGATAATGGTGTTCATTTACGGTTGTTTGTTGTTAGGGAATCAGTTGTTTATATATATATATTTGTATATATATATATATATATATATATATATATATATATATATATATATATATATATTTGTATATATATATACAAATGATTTAGTACATCTGAAATTGATTTTTGGAGATCCTGTCCATGAACCTTTGAGGTTGCTAAATAAGAAACTTCCTTCTAAAGAAGATACATAAATTATCCTTTTCGACCATGTTTCTAATTTTAAATATAAGTTGTAAAAGACTTGTAAAGTTGCAAGAACTAATCTGCACTCACCTCAGTCAAACGTGAAATTAAGGTATGATAAAATACAAAGGAAAAAAGAATTTCGACTGTTGATAAAGTCTTGGCTCTCTTCAGGCTAAATAAGACGGTCATTGCGCAGCTGAAAGAAAGTAAGCGATTTCAATCAGTAGTCTCTAACTCAACATTGTCCTAGGGGCCTGATGAGGATAGCCCAAGTGCCACACCACCTTTATTATCTCTCATGACATCTTGTGACATCAATCATTTTGCGGGCCACAAGATACAGCATTGAGGCCTCTTGTCACGTTTGCTTAGTTCCAGCTATAAAGTCTTTCACTAAATTTAACTTTCAGCCAAATAGAACTCGGGTGGGTCTTTAATAATAGTTTAAATTAAATATTGGGAACACACCCCAGCCCAACACTATACAACCGACACACACCTGGTTTAAATTATATCAACACTACTCTTGGGATGTGAAAACAAAACCAATTTTGCCATAAAATATATTAAAGGAATATATTGACAGAGATACCCTGGTCAATCATGCAGTCAATTTAATTGTACCTATCCCACACAGTGGAGATTTAAGTGATTGAATGCATCGGACTAGTGACTTCGGTGTAATCAATCTTCGGAATAAGAAATTATTAATTATCTGGACCAGAAACTTTACACCTGCAGCAACAAGAAATGAATTAAATAACTATGTCTTGAATGTGAGCACTTGTTTTCAAATAATCAAAGTTTTGAGATCATCAAGAATGATAGCAACATTCTCAGTGGCATTAATTTATTTTCCCAAGTCCAGCTGCAACAGTGTTTTTAATACCACTTCACAATATCAGCATGAAACAATAACAAACTGCAGTGTGTCTTCGAGAAGAACAACATAAAGAAATGAAAAATAATTGAAATCTTTTCACAAAGGTTGTATTGAGTATTAAAATGCTGATTAAAGATTCTCTTCGTTAACATTGAGGGGATCGTGACTAGGTCTTAGTTTACTATGCATATGGAACAACTGGCAGACCGTGACTAGCTTAGTTTACTATGCATGTAGAATTATGGACAGACGTGACATGGTCTTAATTTACTATTTATTTGCAAAAATGGACTGACTTTCATAAAGTCTTAGTTTACTATGTATGTACAACAATTGACCGACCGTTACTAGGTTTTAGTTTACTATGTATGTGGAATATTGGACAGACCGTGACTAGGTCTTTGTTTACTATGTATGTGGAGCATTGGACAGACCGTGACTAGGTCTTTGTTTACTATGTATGTGGAACATTGGACAGACCATGACTAGGTCTTAGTTAACTCTATGTACACGGAACATTGGACAAACTGTGACAAGCTCTTAGTCAACTACTATATGCAATAATGAATGGACTGTGACTAGGTATTAGTTTCCTATGTATGTAAAACATTGGACAGAGAGCGAATAGCTTTTAATTTATTATGTATGTACAACAATGGATAGACCGTTATAGGTCTTAGTTTGCTATGCATGTGTAAAATTGGAATGGCTTTGACTAAGTCTAAGTTTGATATGCATGTGGAACACTGGACAGACCTTGACTAAGTATTAGTTTACTAAATATGTGGAACAATTGGTGGACCGTAACTAGGTTTTAGTTTGCTATCTATCTGGAACATTGGACAGACCGTGACTAACTCTTTGTTTACTATGTATGTGGAACATTGGACAGACCGTAACTAGGTCTTAGTTTACTACGTATGTGCAACAATGGGTGGACCTTGACTAGCTCTTAGTTTCCTATGCATGTGGAAAATTGGACTAACTTTGACTAAGTCTTAGTTTGATATGCATGTGGAACACTGGACAGACCGTGACTAGGTATTAGTTTACCATGTATGTGGAACAATGGGTGGACCGTGACTAGGTTTTAGTTTGCTATCTGGAACATTGGACAGACCGTGACTAACTCTTTATTTACTATGTATGTGAAACAATGGACACACCGTTACTAGGTCTTTGTTAACTATGTATGTGCAACAATGGGCAGACTGTGCCTAAGTCTTTGTTTACTATGTATGTGCAACATTGAACAGACTTTGGCAAGGTCTTAGTTTACTATGTATGTGAAACAACGTACACACCGTGAAAAGATCTTAGTTTAATATGTATGTGCAACAATGGACAATGGACATACCATGATTAGCTCTTAGTTTACTACGTATGTGGAACAATAGACAGACGGTGACTAGGTCTTAGTTTCTTACATATGTGGAAAAATGGACTGTCTTTGACTTAGTCTTAGTTTCCTATGTAGGTGAAACAATGGACAGACCGTGACTAGGTATTAGTTTATTTTGTATGTGGAACATTGGACAGACCGTGACTAGGTCTTAGTTTACTATGTTTGTGGGACAACGAACAGACCGTGACTATGTCTTAGTTTACTTTAAATGTGGGACCATCATTTTTGCTAACCAAGGTTCCGATAACTCTATCTATAACTTGGCGGATCGAATAGCTATATTGGTGCTTTGTCTTAGTGACAACTATTGAATTTCATGTTTTGCCTCCCTTAGTATATGCAAAATAACCAATATCATGTGCATAGTACATCCGCCGAAAACGGTGAACACAATTGACCTAAAAGGAATAATTTGACATCGGAAGTATGATTGTGTACCAGAGGGAAGCCATTACAGGTATATTTGAGTGGAAGGAATTTGTACAAACACAGATCGACACTGGAAAATTGCTTATTTATCAGTCCATTTAAGTTGTGTAGGAAGTGTTCAAATTTAAAAAAACTTACGTTTGATTGGATGCGGTGGCTTGCCACCGTACCCAATAAAATTCAGAGACACGAAGCACAGAAAAAGTTGTCATCTTAAAACAGCTGTGGCGTTCCGTAGCAAAGTGTAGATAAGGTTATTGGAAACTTGGCTAGCGAAGAAGGTGGGACAATGAGTGAATCGTTATATAGGTCATAGTTTGCTATGTATGTGGAACATTGGACAGACCGTGTCTAGGGCTTCTTTTACTATGTATGTGGACTGACAGTTTATGTCTTAGTTTGTTATGCATTTGGAACAACGGGCGGACTTTGACTAGGTCTTAGTTTACTGTGTGAATTATGGGACAATGGGCGGACGATGATTAGTCTTAGTTTATTTACTATATTTGTAAATTGTATGTGGGACAATGAGAGGAGTTTTGCTATATCTTAGTTTACTATGTATTTGGACAATGTACGGAAAGGCTGCTTTATGGTTTGATTCCTGTATTATTTGTATTAGTATTCACTGCATGAAATTCAATAATCTCAGACATGTACATATGCTTTCCTTTCTTTTTCACATTAACACTTGACATGAACTTCTTTGACATTTCGCTGAGTATACACATCTTGATTAACTAATGATGCTAGTTTATTAAGATTTCTTAACGTGGACATCTTGAATCACTCAAGAGAACTACTCATCTGTCATATAACGAAATTCCTTCAAAGTAAAAAAAGCTATAAATCATAGTTGATCTTACTTTGGTGACATCATTATGGTGTTTTTGGAACTTTATAAATTACCCATCCCAATTGTATTTTCTCCTTCAAGCTTGATACCAATAGTAGGACCACAATCGCTCATGTAGTATAGAATGCTGTGATGAGAAAACCGTCAGAGCGATCTTTGTTATGCATGAGTGGGATCTACACTGCAGATGACACATTCGGATAACATGTCTGTTTACGTATCTAACTATATAAGATTTAATAAGTTAAAAGAATATTCAACCCTACCATTTCTGGAACGATAAAGTCATATTTGATAAAATATGAATGAGATTTTGGGCATTGTTTTGTATACAGTGTACCGATCACGAAATTTCAGTGAGATATGCCTTACACAAGACAGGCATTAAGCCCATTGGATTGATTTAGCCCAATCGGGCCCCGCACTCACAGAAAGTAATTTTAAAGCGATGGAAAAAAATGTGAAGCTCAATATGATATAAACTTGTTTAAATATTTGTTTCCAAATGCCGTGCCCCGCGCGTAAATCAAGGGGACCGCGCTAAAATGACCCCTCTTGGGCCCCGCGTTTGCTAAGGCCGTTCCTGCTCTTACTCCAGAAGGAATACCTCATGAACATGAGTGAAATGATGAGGTCCGCTCCGGTGGCCTAAGCGGTAAGAGTGTCCGCCTCAGATGTGGGAGGTTGCTGGTTCGATTCCTAGCTGAGTCAAAGCAAAGACTTACAAATATGGTATTAGCAGCTGCTTCACGTGGTGCTCAGCATTAAGAGGTTAGTAGTAAGGACTGGCCGGCCTGGTGTCAGGGTTGGACATCGTGCGACAAGTACTAGACATCACTTTTATTCGTCACACGATATAATTGAAAACTTTTTAAAGCTACATTAAAAATCTAAATCACACACACACACACACACACACACACAGGAAAAAATAGAAGATGAAGTTTTTATATTGAAAAAAGTTTAAGACCTCAGTTGGATGTTAATAAGCCGTAAGTCTCGTAATCTCCTCGTAGCGTTCTAAGGACAATAATGGCACCACTTTAAATAATGTGATGTGTGTGACAATGATTTGTTAACGTAGTTTTAAAACATTTTCAGTCATATCGCTACGACGTCTGTTGTGTGGCAGTTTATAGTGATCATTATGTGGAATAATGCACTGGGGCATCATTCTGCAGACATGTAGCATGATGTTCCATGGAGGGCAGTCGGTTTTCGCGAATTTCAAAAGACACAGATAGAAGGCAGTCGGTTTCGCAAATTTCAAATGTCACTTAGAGTTGTAGAAGGCAGTCATGTTTTGTGAATTTCAGCAGACACAGAGATGTAGAGGGCAGTCCAGATTTCTGAATTTCAAAAGACAGAGATGTAGAGGGTAGTTGGGCAGTCAGTTTTTGTGAATTTCAATAGACAGTTGTAGAAGGCAGTCAGGTTTTCTGAATTTCAATAGACGCAGAGAGCTGTAGAGGCCAGTTAGGTTTTGTGACTTTCAAAAGACGCAGAGAGCTGTAGAGGGCAGTTGGGGTTTGTGACTTTCAAAAGACGCAGAGTGCTGTAGAGGGCAGATGGGTTTTGTGTTTTTCAAAAGACGCAGAGAGCTGTAGATGGCAGTCAGGTTTGTGACTTTCAAAAGACGCAGAGAGTTTTAGAGGGCGGTTGGGTTTTGTGACTTTCAGAAGACACAGAAAGCTGTAGAGGGCAGTCAGGTTTTGTGACTTTCAAAAGACGCAGAGAGCTGTAGAGGGCAGTTGGGTTTTGTGACTTTCAAAAGACGCAGAGAGCTGTAGAGGGCAGTTGGGTTTTGTGGCTTTCAAAAGACGCAGAGAGCTGTAGAGGGCAGTTGGGTTTTGTGACTTTCAGAAGATACATATACAAATGAAGCAACTATATTTACAAAACTTGTTTCATGGCTCATTAGAAAAATATTACTTTTTAAATTGGTATCTACTCGATGAAGAAAAGCTTTCGATAGTACCATATAAATAATTATGTGTGTGTGAAATATTTTTCGTCAACGATCTGGTTTAGGCAGACGTGACAAAAAATTCGATTTGGTTAATGTATACAGACTTATTTCAATCCGCAGAGTATGTCATCAAAGGCGTAGACTATGTAACGATTATTGTGATTTCGTTGACTCATGACATGCATGAAAGTTGCCTTTTGAAGATACAATAAATCCTGCATTGGAAGAAGTTATAGCTTATAAAACATTAGAAACCCTTAAGGATTGATCATGATATTCATCGAACTTATATATCAATATTATAACCAGATCGATACTAAAAAAATAGGTAATTATACTGGAGTTAAACCAAACCTGGACCTCACATTGAAAGGAAATTGAAATCACTCATACTGACTTTCCTGCATGCATTTACATATCGATATCTGTAATGTTGACTTGCCCTGTATGCATTTACATATGGACATCTGTAATGTTGATTTGCCCTGTGTGCATTTACATATCGATATCTGTAATGTTGTCTTGCTCTGTGTGCATTAACGTATCGACATCTGTAATGTTGACTTGCTCTGTGTGCATTTACATTTCGACATCTTTAATGTTGACGTGCTCTGTGTGCATTTACATATCGATATCTGTAATGTTGAATTGCCCTGTGTGCATTTACATATCGATATCTGTAATGTTGACTTGCTCTGTAAGCAGTGTTGTTGACATTAAATACTGAATTACCCTGTGTGCAGTAAGATATGGAAATCAGCAATTCAGACTCGTCATATGTACGGTAAATTGAAGTTTATTATTACGAAATAGCTTGGGTACCGCAGGTAAAAACCATAATTGTAGTGAACAATCTCTGGCTCTCTATAGATAGGGAATATCAAAATCTGGTAAAAATCTACTCAGCGCTTAGATTGGTATTATTTGCATTTAATTAGTGCCAAGCACACGAGATACATTTTCTAACTAAAAGCCCATGTACTCTTGAAGATTAGTAATAACAATATTTTATCACAGTTGCAATATTTAGATACCCGACGGTTACCATGTTATTTCAGGAATAACTAGACATTATAAGAATTTTTTTTAATGACAACCCCACGTTGATATAACTATCCATTCACGGAAAGTAGCGAAAGACTTCAAGCCAGTCGCTGTGGTGACTATATCTGAAGCCAATGGACATGTTCGATGGGCTCCATTTTCATTAGAAATAATAAGACATCATAAAGTCTTTTAATGACAACCGTATGTCGATAAAACATTAACCACAGAGTGAATAGTAACAAGATTTTAAAGCCGGCTCTTGTGGTGGCCATATTGGATGGCCAAGGGAATGTCACATGGGTTCATTTTCATCTCAAACCAACTAGACATCGCAAGAAGTCTTTTCGAGTAAACTCAATAAAACCTTCTAACTATACAGGGGGATTGAAATAATTAGATTTTAAAGATGGATGCCATGGTAACTACATTACATGTCATATATATATATATATATATATATATATATATATATATATATATATATATATATATATATATATATATATATATATATACCCTTCTTATTTTTTACAGATAACTATCCTTGAAAATAAGTATTTCATTGAATAAACTGTCGACATGACCAAACGTTTAGAAGTTGTAATCATATTTGCAAGAGGTCCAGCGTCCTGGCCGTATTAATGTGTATGGAGCATTAATGTGTCTGGCCGTATTAATGTGTATGGAGCATTAATGTGTCTGGCCGTATTAATGTGTATGGCGCATTAACGTGTCTGGCTGTATTAATGTGTATGGAGCATTATATAGGACCAACTATATATTATAAAGGGTTTTTTTTTAGAGAAAGTACATGTGAATATGACCATCCATTTATGATGAGCGGTGATAAGCTATTCAATAATGCCACCAAAGTGTCAGATATGCACCATATTCATTCTGGATCACAAGAAATTATAAAACTGTTAGGTCAAAACGTAAAATCAGTTTTATCGTCCAATCCCATTGTAGTTATAAAAAGATTTTCAAGACGGTCAATTGTGGCGATATTGTATGTCCGAGCAGCACCATTGACAATTTGGACTTATTAGAACTCAGGATCAAGCAGAGCTCATAAAAGTCCTTTAGTACAAATCTGATTTCAGTATGGCCATCCTTTCAGCACAAACCTGATTTCAGTATGACTATTCATTCAGTACAAATCTGATTTCAGTATGACTATCCTTTCAGTACAAATATGATTTCAGTATGACTATCCTTTCAGTACAAATCTGATTTCAGTATGAATATCCATTTAGTACAAATCTGATTTCAGTATGAATATCCATTCAGTACAAATATGATTTCAGTATGACTATCTATCCAGTACAAATCCGATTTCAGTACGACTATCCATTCAGTACAAATCTGATGTCAGTATGACTATTCATTCAGTACAAAGCTGAGTTCAGTATGACTATCCTTTCAGTAAAAATCTGATTTTAATATGACTATCCGTTTAGTACAAATCTGATTTCATTACACTATCCATTCAGTACAAGTCTGATTTCAGTATGACTATCCATTTAGTACGAATCTGATTTCAGTATGACTATCCATTCAGTACAAATCTGATTTCAGTATGACTATCCTTTCAGTACAAATCTGATTTCAGTATGACTATCCATTCAGAACAAATATGATATCAGTATGACTATCCATTAAATACAAATCAGATATAAGTATGACTATCCATTCAGTACAAATCTGATTTTAGTATGACTATCCACTAAGTACAAATCTTATTTCAGTATGACTATCCATTCAGTACAAATCTGATTTTGGTATGACTATCCATTCAGTACAAATCTGATATCAGTATGATTATTCATTCAGTAAAAATCTTATTTCAGTATGACTATCCATTCAGTAGAAATCTGATTTCAGTATGACTATCTAACCAGTACAAATTTGATTTCAGTATGATTATCCATTCAGTACAAATCTGATATCAGTATGACAATCCATTCAGTACAAATCTGATTTCAGTATGGCTATCCTTTCAGCACAAACCTGATTTCAGTATGACTATTCATTCAGTACAAATCTGATTTCAGTATGACTATCCTTTCAGTACAAATATGATTTCAGTATGACTATCCTTTCAGTACAAATCTGATTTCAGTATGAATATCCATTTAGTACAAATCTGATTTCAGTATGAATATCCATTCAGTACAAATATGATTTCAGTATGACTATCTATCCAGTACAAATCCGATTTCAGTATGACTATCCATTCAGTACAAATCTGATATCAGTATGACAATCCATTCAGTACAAATTTGATTTCAGTATGACTATGCTTTCAGTACAAATCTGATTTTAGTATGACCATCCTTTCAGTACAAATCTGATATCGGTATGACTATCCATTCAGAACAAATCTGATTTCGGTATGAATATCCATTCAGTACAAATCTGATTTCAGTATGACTATCCATTCAGTACAAATCTAATTTCAGTATGACTATCCTTTCAGTAGAAATCTGATTTCAGTATGACTTTCCATTCAGTACAAATCTGATATCAGTATGACAATCCATTCAGTACAAATCTGATTTCAGTATGACTTTCCATTCAGTACAAATTTGATTTCAGTATGATTATCCATTCAGTACAAATCTGATATCAGCATGACTATCCATTCAGTAGAAATCTGATTTCAGTATGACTATCCATTCAGTACAAATATGATTTCAG